CACAGGGGCCAGGCCTGAGCCTGAAGGCAGGGATGGTCTGAGGACTCCTCTCCCCAGAGCCTGGCCCAGCACTGTCTAGGGTATAGCCTCAGGACAGAAGCCGCTACAGAAGCGGGTCAGCCCTTCAAGGCCTGGGGCCCAGCCCTGCCCGTGCATCTGGCTTTCTTCCTCTGGTGACCAGTACCTGAGATGTAGGGAAGACGAGCCTCACCACTTGGCTGGAGGGCAGGGCCTTCAGAGGCACCTTCAGTTGCTCTTGGGGGGCATCCTGCAGGGAGGATGAAAGAAGATCTAAGGATCTCTACCCTTCCACTCCAGCAAGGATCATACCAACTGCCCCTGAGAGTGATGGAGAAGCAGTAGGAAGGGGGACACGAGGCTGACGTCGGCCCTACACTCTTCCGAGGGTGCCTGACTCTGCCAGGGAGTGATGGGGGGCTCAGGGTGAGCAGAGGGACCGGCTGGGAGGAGGTGCTGAGGGAGAAAGGAGGGAAGGAGGGAGAAAGGCTCTACGGGCTGCCTCACGGGAGGGAACAGCGCCCTACCTGCAGATGGATACTCAGCTCCTGCTCCCAGCAGGCCGGGCAGTGGAAGCAGAAGGAGCCGGCGCCCACAGAGGCCTCCTGCGGACCCTCACAGGACCCGGGAACCACAAGCTGCACTCTGCGCTCTGACCCTGCAAACAGAAACCCGAGCAAAGAGGCTGGGAATGGGATCTTGGCCCACAGAAGTCCTTGTCTTGCCTAAGGGGGCTGGGGGGCATTTCCCTCACCGCACTGAGATGGAGGTCTGGCCCAGGCCGAGGCTGGGAGCTGGAGCCCCCACCACAGCCCCTCTGAGGACTAAGAGGGAAAGCTCAGGTCCTGGGGAGCCCAGCATGGATGTGCCCCCAACCCCTGCTCCTGCCTATGAGAGCCGAGGGCTGCTGGTGCAAGGCCCCCTTAGAAAGGGGGAAGGCAAGGGCTGAGGGCCGGGAGCCACCCCTGTGGGTCAAGAACTCACCCTGCTGGTCCCCGGCCTCCTCCAGTCGAACATGCAAGCAGGAGAGCTCCCGGGCCTGAGTTGTTAAGAGAGCGCATCAGATGCAAACCCCCGGCCTGTCAGAGACCCCACCTTCCCGGCACACTGGCTCTTGCTCCTCAGACTTTATTACCTTGGCCCTGAGCCACCAAACATTCACTTTAGGGTGTATCCTCTTAAGGAACTGAAATCCCAGGGCCCCCCAGTTTGGCTCTACCCACTGACCCCCCTGGTGGGCCTGAGCCTCAGGCCCAGGGAGGAGGGTGAGCAGATGGCATGAGGGAGGGGTTCTCGACTCACCACCAGGATGCCATTGCTGATGAGCTGCTCAGCGCAGTCTGTCCTGGAAAGAGCCCCCAGCGACCCTTAGTCCAGGTTCCCAGGCTCTCATCCCCAAGGAGGACTGGGCATTCCTCCTCCACCACTGGCTGTCTCCAGGGGAGGGGTGTCAGCTCTGGGCGTGCTGGGCTCTGTCCTTCCCTGAAGGAAGCACTCCCACCCAGGAATTGCCCCACGGCCCCTGACTCACAGACTCTGTAACCGAAATTCAACTTCCAGTTGCTCCTCACCCTGGAGAGAGAAAAAAGTTAGAAAGGGTGAGGAGTAGGGGTGTGTGTGTGTGAAGTTAGAGGGTGTGTGTGTGTGTGGTGTGTGTGTGTGTGTGTGTGTGTGAAGTTGGGGGTGTGTGTGCACATGTGTGAAGTTAGAGGTGTGTGTGTGTGTGTGTGTGTGTGTGTGTGTGTGTGTGTGTGTTCCCACACAGACACCACTGGGGCTGCTGGGGCCCCAGCCCAGTGGTGGGGAGAACCATCGTCGATCTCCAGGCTGCTCTGTCAACCTTCTCTGGACTGCTCCAAGAAAGCTGCCCTTCACTTAGGGGCCAAGAAAGAGGGTTGGGGATGGGACTGCTCCTCAGTGGACAGTAGCTCCTGGCTCACAGAGGCCTTTGGGATACCAGGGGAGCCTGGGTCACTCACTGGTCCAGGAGAAGAGGGCCATGTACCCAGCTACCCTCCAAAGTATCCCTCTTCCTGGGGCTGAGGCCCTCCATGCCCTGCATCAGCCTTGCCTGGCCACTCAAGGAGAAGCTCTTATGGCGGAACTCCCCAGCCCGCAAAGTCCCCACATCAAACAGCACCGACAACACGAGGTCATCACTGGTCAGAAGGTCCTGGTCAACGACGTTCAGTTGCATGACGTTCTGGAAGGGAAACAGAGTGAGGGGGCTGCAGGAAAGAGGGGTGGGATAGGAAGGTGAGCGGGGCAGGGGCAGGGAACGTGAGGCTGGGAGGGGACCGTGGCTGTGGATGGACAGGGACAGCGAGCAGGGCCACCTGACCCCTGGCCCACCTTGAGCTGACTGTGGATTCGGAAGTGAAAGCTCTGATTCCAGATGGGGTTTCTGCTGTTCTTGACCACGCGTGTCTGGAGCCTATGGCTGGAGGCCGTGGGCAGCCACAGAGTCACATAGCAGTCAGGAGGGGTCACTGCAGAAAGGAGGAACGAGTGTCTGGTGGTGGCCAAGAGCCCTTCCCAGCCCAGCCGCCCAGTCCATGTCCTTCCATCACAGGCAGTCCCGGGGGACCGAGAGACCCATGGAATGGGGGTGGGTCAGGAGGCAGGAAGAGCAGAGGCTAAGGCCTGACCATGATGTTCCACCCAGTACCTCCTCTCGGTACCCTCTCTAGGACCCCCTGCACACTCAGCCCTACTCACGTCTCTTCCCACTGCCCCTGCCCCACACTGAATCCAGCTGCAGAACCACTGCCCTTCCTGGGCCCAGCACTTACCCAGGTCCTTAGAGGGCAGGCTGCGGGCCTGCAGGACACGGACAGTGAGGAGGCAGGTCCCAGGCACCTTTGCCTGCAGAGGGAGAGGGGGACAGGCTTGCTGCAGGCTGATGGGCCCAAAGGTGACAAGAGCTGAAGGGGAGGCTGAGGCAACCCTTGAGGCCTAATCCTGAACCAAAAGGACCAGAATTGCCGAGCCACAGGCCTGCCCTCCACCCCATCAGAGTCCTGAATGGAAAGGAAGCTGCAGTATCTCCTGATGACACCTGCCAACACTTACACAACTCTGGGTTGGCTATGGTCCCAGGGCTTCATGTACATTAACTCATCTAATCACACAACCACCCTACGCGTGAGGACTGCATATTATGACCAGTCCCACAAGGAAACTGAGACAGACAAGCTGATTAGTCACTTGCCCGAGGTCCAGCGCCAGGACTGGACCAGGCTAGCTCGACTTGTCCTCTCAACGCCCCCCACTTACCTGCTTCCAGTTCCTGCTATAGCCTCCTTTAGTCTCTGCACCCCACATCCCCAGCTCCCCCTTGCTAAGCAGCCTTGAGGCTGGTCTTGGGCAGTGGGGGGCCCGGGGTGGGGGGATATAGGCTACAGAGGGAGGGGAGAGGCATATCAAGACCCAGCCTAGCCTGGGACCCCAGCTGAGTTGTCCCGGTACTCCTCACCCCTGGCCAGGAGACAATTCTGGAAATGGGCTCTCTGCTAGGATAGGAACAGCCTTACCAGCTCAGACCATCTACAGGTTGTCAGGTTCTCCAGGTGCTATAAGACCAGGCTAAAGACAGTCCTCTGGCAGCTCCATCCAAACCCACAACCCTGGGTCTGGGGACACCGACCCTGGCAGCTGTGCCATCGCAGGGATGCCTGTGCCAACCGATCCTTCTTTTTGGCCTTCAGCCCTGCCTCAGGAGGGGCCCTAATGGATGGAGTCCAGGGGCAGAGCTGGGGAAGCTCATCTATCAGTGTCAGCCTTGGCGCCCCCACACCCCAAGCAACTGAGTCAGAGGGAGCACGAGATGGCAACTGGGAGCCTGAGTTCTCAGGACCCAAATCCATGGTGCCAGGGAGTTCTGCCTGGAGCCCATCTCTAGGGCAGGAAGAACTCAGGATGATCCCTCATCCCAAGACCCTGCCTCTTCCCCAGCTTCTGCTCTCCACCCTGGTCCAAGGCCAGCAAACCCCTCTCTACACTGGAGAAGCCCACAGCCCTTAAGAAACAGCATTAACTAGGGCCCAGGGGGACCAGAGATCAGAATTGGGGCCCAGTGCCCTACTGGGTCTTACCAGAGCCATGAGGTTGAGAGTCCTCGGGAGCTAGGAATGATGGGCAGTGGTGTAGGATTGAGGACTGTCGGCTTTTAACCCAGAGCCAGGGATGTCCCAGCTGGCCCCAAGCTCCTCCCTGGTCCCTCCCAACCGCCTCCACTCCACCCAGGCCCCACACCCACTCCTGGGCCAGCCACTTGTCCAGGAAATGAGGCACCTTAAACCTGTATGAAGCCACTAACACCTCTACGGCAGAGGCTCAACACCCCAGAAGACCCATTCTGTCCCGCCATCGCCATCGCCATCTGCACCTACCCCAGCCCTGACCTAGAGTTGGGGCCCCCAGGAGAGCTCATCGTCAGAGGCCAAGCAGAAAGAAAAGACACTGAAGGGGCCAGTGAGGTCTGGAAAGCAGGGGGTGGGCCCAGAGCAGCTGCAAAGAGCTGTGTCCCCCATCACAAAGCCTTTCGCAACCTCCCAGTGCCAGTGGGACAGGAATGCCCAGTCTTGCCTGAAGCACTTGGCCAATCTGAGAGGAGTGCCCTGGGCACCATGATAACCTGGCAGGGTCATGGTTGGTTCCATGAAACAGTCCTTCAAAGCCACGTGCCAGGCTGCCTCCACCCTTGGAGCCAGGTGCTGGGTGGCGTGGGATGAGGCCTCTGGGTTGGCACTCGGGGAAGGAAGCTCTTCTGTCACCAGGGCCGGGTTGGTGGAGGGAGGGAGGAAGGTTGAACATGGAGACCTACTTCTTCCACAGGGGAACAGCCTCAGGAGGGGCACGGGTTTCTGTCCCCTCCTGACTGTGCTTGTTGTAGGAGAAACAGAGATGACCCTTAGGGCACCAGATCCCACCAGCTGCCCTAGAGCTAGAAGAGCAGAGCACACAGGCCAGAGCAAAGCTAGGCCCTGAGTCAATGAGGTCTGCGCCAGAGTTACAACAGAGGACTGGGGTCGGCTTGCTTGGCCAGAGAGGCGCTGTGATGGCTGTCATGGACAGGGGGCTCTCAGCAGCAGAGCTCCTCAGGCCCAGGCCTGGACCCAGCCCTTACCCCCAACCAGGGTCACCCTGAAACGTTTACCTGAACCTTCCAGCCCTCACCAGACCATGGAAAGCAATGGCAAGAGGGAGTCTCAGTGCACGTGAACCATAGCTGCCTTTATTGACCACTTCCTCTGTGCCAGCCCCGCGCCCTCCTCACAGACATCACCTCCAAGCCTCATAACACCTCAGGAGGTAGGAACCATCATATCTCCATCTTATAGACAGGACACCAATGCTCTGAGGCAGTAGCTCGCCCAAGGTCACAGCCATGGCGCCGGCGAGGGGCGGTGCTGCCCCTGCAGTCCCACTCCTCCTCCAGCACAGGCTGCTCCCTCGCCTGTGTGGCAACTTCTTGGGAGCCCACACCCAGACCTGCCTGGCACCTCCTGCTCCTCCAGACCACCTCCCGAAATCCTCCAAAGCTGATCCCAAGCTGAGCTGGGCCAGCAGCCAGCATGCTCTCACTCCAGGCTGCCCCCAGAATTGACCTGCCCCAGGAAGGGCTCGACCTTTTCCCCAAGTTGTTGTTAGCAATGTCCACCAGGGCTCCATCAGTCAAGGCCTGAGGCCTTTGTGAGGGAGTCGAGCAGCTGGAAGTAACTGTACTTAAGGTCATACTCCATGTCGTACCAGAAATTCACTGTGGGAAGAACAGAGACCTGAGCATAAGGGTCCCCCTTCTAACCTACAGCTTCCTCAACCCATCCCCCAGCTGCCCCGCCACACCTGTACAGGGCTACCCCTGGGTGACCTGGGAAGCTCCTCACCAGCAATGCAGCCATGGGACTGCTGGACGTGATGGAACCACAGGGCTGGCAGGTAGAGCATCTCACCAGCCCGCACCGTGCAGTGAATGGCCTGGGCCTGACTATAACTGGGGTACCGGGCCAGATCTGGAGCCAAGGGGTCCAGTGGGATCCAGGGCACCTGGGGATACAATGGATACCAGGGAGCAGGCCTAAAGTCCCCAGGCCCTCCAGCTGTGTCCCTTCCAAGGGTAAAGACTGCAGGCCCTGCCCTGGTCAGCACTGGAAGGACTCAGACGCAGGAATTTTTCAGAGCAAAGTACCACCTCCCCAGCTCTTTTGTGCCTGCTCCTCAGAGCCCAGGCTCCAACCCTTCCCCGTCCCTGGGGCCCAGGAACAAGGCAGACACCTTCTCCATGGCTTCTTCATCCACCATTGTAAAGGAGCCCTCTTCAGTTAGCTGGTAGGTTGCCGGTGTGTACAGCTCTGAAGCCAGAGGGAGAAAGGTGTGGGGAACCTCAAACAGCCTGGAGCTTACCAGCCACCCTCACTTGTTCCTTGGGTGCAGGAACAAGAGGGTCAGTGGTCCTAGTGCAGTGGAGACACTGAGTCCACATCTTGGGCCTAGGGCACCAGCCTGCCTGGGTCCCTCGCTGGCCCCCTCTACCTTGGGCCACCTGCTCCCCTGCCCCTGCAGGCTGCGTCCCTTACCATAGGGGATGAAGGGCCGGTCACTGGGTGGATGTAACAGGAAGTGCTTCTCTCCCGAGACCACACAGTAGAGGTTCTCATAGTGGTCCTTATGCACTGCCAACACAAAGGCCCAGTGGGCAGGGTTATGAGGGGCAGGGCACAGGAGGGGCCTTGCACCCCGACACAGCCTATGGTGAAATAGAAGAGCATGCAAAGTTGGAGCAGTCTCAAGAGGATGCCAAGGAGTCTGGCGGGCATTTCAGATCTCTGCCCGTCAGGGACTCAATGCTCGCCAGGCCCTGGGCTCATATCCGCCAAGAGGGGAATATATGCAAACAGGATTCTCCTGAGTTCACCCCCTGATCTAGCTGGCCTAGGAGAGCTTTCTAGGGATCTGAAGAAACAGTGCTCTCCACCCCCAATGTCATGGGTACCTTCCTCCATCTGAGCAGTCAGGGGAGGCCCTCTCTTGTACGAGCCCCAGAATCCCAGAAGACATCTTAGAGAAGAGTCAGTCTAACTTCTATCCAGGCGCAACCTTCCACTCTTGGCCTCCCCTTCTCTCCTCCCTCACCTCCTCCCCGATCTTTGTATTCCCGACACCTACAAGATGTCACTGCAGCCGCCTCTCCCAGCCAGAAGTTCACAGCATCAGGCATCTTTCCTGCATGTAAGGGGGAAGGGGGTGAGTTATGAGAGGGTGTCCCTGAAGGCCGGGCGGGGAATAACCACCATACAGTGATGCTGGGCCAGAACCTGGGCAGGGAGAAGAGAGGTTCCAGGGAGAGAGCAGGGAGAAGCAGCAGAGGTGGGCGAGCTTGGGAGAGCCCTCTCTCCGTCCCCTGGGTGGAAGGAAGGGCAGCAATCTTCAGTATTTCAATATGAAGTTGGGACCTGGGGATTGACCCTGTGGGGCCAAGAGTATGGGCCAAGTCCTGACCAAAGGGAGAGAAGCAGCAAGCAGGGCTGACTCCCTCCGTCCCATTTCTTCCCTGTTCAGCCCCCACATCCACTCACCCAGTGCCTCGGAGGCCCAGGGCACGTGAGGCTCCAGATCAGGCAGCAGCTGCGGCAGCTCAGTGGGCAGGTTGGAGCACTGCTTCTGCACGTAGAGGACCCCTGGGTGTTGGGCTTGGCCCTCCAGCACGTCTAGCACACAGCTCAGGGGTAGGCGGCGTTCAGCGGGCATCACAAAGCGGTCCCCTCGCACGGCATCCGCGTAACCATCTGGGGTCACAGCCACACTCACCTCTGTGGAGCCCACTGTGGCTCTGGAGGAATGGATATTCAGCCCACGCCCAGACACCCAAAGCACCGCCCACATCCCCGCCCAGGGCAGCCCCCACCTGAGGTAGGGAAGGGACCACTTCTGGAGAGCTGGCCAGTGCTGCAGGGCATTGCGGATGATGCAGGGCCTGTTGGGGCAAACCCAGTCCCGGTAGAAGTGGAGTGGAGTGGGGGGCTCGTCCAGGTAGGGTATAGCAAGAGGCACGCTGAGCTCTGAGAGAAAGAGGGGGGCGAGGAGCTGAAGCCAACAGCACGCAGTCCCTGCCCCACTACCTGCATAAGAGATGCCCTCCCCGGGGCCATAATGGGTCACTGAGCAATGCCCACAGGTGACCAAGGAACCCTGGACAACCAGGAATTGAAGAATGAGGAGGCAAATTTAAGGGAGAAAGCATGAAGCACCCATAAACACACCAGGATGGGTCATAAGAGTCCACAGGGCCAGGGGCTGCTGCTCTGTCCATAACCCAAACCCTCCATGGGGCGTCTGGCCCTGCACAGCGGACCCTTGGCTTTTCTACTCTGGAGTGGGCAATCTCCTGGCATCCATTAGGAAAGTCAGCCACTGAGGCGGTGTTGAGAGCTCCACAATGAGTAGAGCTGAGGCCCCAAGGCCACAGGCAAGTGTGGGTGGGTCGAGGTTCTGGAAAGCACCCTCCAACAGCAGTATTTACTGAACACCTAGAATGTGCTCAGTACTTGGCTTGGCCAATGTGGAGGTAGTAAGGGATGATCTGAGCATCATCTCAAGAAGCTTACAACCTAACTGGGGAGACAGACTGCCACACAAAACCACTGGAGGAAAAGTAAGGCCTGAACTGTGTTTTTAGTCTTACTCAACAGCATCACCATCCTCAGACACATGGGCTGCCGTGTGCATTTGGGCAGGTTGCAGGCTGTGCAGTGTACCACCCGTGCAGGTGTCTGTAGTGCCTTGCGTCACCCTTAATAAAAATCTTTTTGACTCTTCCTTCTCCCTCACTCCTGTCATCCTACTGATTGTGCCTAAGTCCTGTTGATTCTACCTCCTATGTCTCTCAAACCATCCCCTCCTTCTTTCCTCTGCTGGTGTCCACATTCAAACTACCTCCTCTGGGTCCTCAAATGTCACTTCGATGAGGCTTCCTTCCCTGGTCACCCTTTCTAAAATTGTAACCTGCCCCCAGGAATCCTTAAAGCCCTTCCCTTTTTTTTCTATCATTTATCACCATCTAACACCCTAGATATTTCACTTATCCAAATTGTTTACTGGTCTATCTCTCTTGCTAGAATGTAAGTTAAGGGATGCTTATCTTGTTCACTGATGCATCCCTGGGACATAGAACAGTACCTAGCACACAGTAGGTGCTCAGTAAATATTTGCTTAATGGTAGAATGAAAGTTTCCAACATCTCCCAGCAGGATGGCTACTACAGTGAACTAACTGGTTTCCTTGGCTTAATTCCACTCCCTCTCAAAGCATCCCTCACCCTGGCCCCAGTCATTTTCCTAAAAGACAGTCTCATCTTGTCACACCCCTAGTAAAATATCTTTTGATGGCTTACCACTACTCCTTACGAAATACAGTTCCTGCCCCTTACCACACTCTTGACTCAGGTGGCGCCAAACTTTGTTCCTGCTGCTCTCTCAGACTGGAACGCCTTTCTCCTAGCTTTCATAAGGGCACAGGGTTTCGCTTTGTTACTTTCATCCTTGAGGTCTATAGAGTCTGAATGTCTTGACCCCCAATGGGTGGTTACGGCATCCTACTCCGAACGGCCACTGCACTCATTTTCACCTCTGAGGTCATGCTCGCTCTCTCATGACCGCATCTCCATGCTGGTCATCTGTACCTTCCAATCAGTTGGAAATGAATGTCTTTAGATCAAAAAATTGGAACTGAGTGGGAAGCCCCTGGTGGGCCAAGGAAAGAGCTGGCATGTGTGCTTGTTTCACTGGCTAGAGAGGCAAATGGAACCTGCCAAGTAGATAAGGAAGTAAGGGGGAGGGATCTGGCAAATCATGCCAGCCCATCAAAGCAGTCAGCTTGGGAGGTGATTTGGGCTCAGTAAACCTCCCTATTACTCTCACTGGGGTTCTTAAAATATGTGGAAACTGCCATTTTTTTACCTTTTCAATTTTCTGCAATTATTTCAGTTTTACTTTCTCACCATTTAATAGATTGCCTTTAGAGAATGGCCACTGTTCCCTGCGGGGGCTTCAAAGTGAGAGAATTTCAAAGGGATCCGAACAATTCCTTTGGCCCAACAATTCTTCTGCTAGGAATTTAACCAACAAAAATACTCAAACACACGTGTGCACAGACTGCACCAGGCACACCAGCCTCTTCACGGTTCCTTGAACACACCAGGCACACTCCCACCTCAGGTCATTTGCTGATCCGTGCCCTCTACCTGGGTCACTCTCTTCCTTCTTCAAGCCTGAGCTCAAATGTCATCTTACCAAGGAGGCCTACCTACCCTGACCACCTAAACTTGTCACATGCCCCCACCCCCACATCCTGAGCCCCCTCATTCTGCTTTCCTTTTTTTCCCACAGCACTTACCTTCTAACACATTTCTTCTAGTACATACTCATTTCCTGTGCCTACAGTTGTCTGTCTCCTCACCTAGATTGTAAGCTCTACAAGGGCAGAGATTTGTTTTGTTCAGTGATGTACCCTAAACACACTGAATAGAGCCTGGCACATTGAGTACTAATAAACGTTTTTGAAATGAATACCCAAAGTATTTGCTGCAGCATTATTGAAAACAACAGTGTGATTAAGTAAATTAAGCACTAGTACACAGGTGTGAAAAACATTGAGGTACAGGGACATGGAATGATCTCTAAGATACATAGTGCAGAAGAGTGTGTTTAGCTGGCTACCGTTTGTATAAAAAGGGAGTTATATAGTCATACGTGTGCGTGGTTATAAACATAGTATTTCTGGAAGGATGCAAACTGGGGCCTGGAAAGGGAGAGAGGCTTTCTTTACATTATAAACCCGTTGTTTTTTCAAACCATGTGCCTGTGTTGCTATTCAGCGGTAAGAAATCTCCCTAGAGACAAGGGACGGAGGGAAAGAGAGAGGGAGAAAAACTTCAATCAAACAGGGGAAGAGCCAGGGATCTACTGGTACCGCTGCCTACAACCCCCCCAAAGCTCCGCAACCTTCCCAGCTTGGAGGAGTCTGTTCCTGAATAAAGTGTTCCAGCAGGAGTTCAGAGAGGGAGAATCCGACCACCTGAAGAAAACTTCACGACAGGAGAGGCTGGGAAGGGCAACAACAGACTGCCCGATTATTCAGCGCAGGCTGACTGTAGGAAACAGGAGAGCATCAAGTCAAGACCGGAGCGGGCCTTCGGAATAATGTCAACAGTCACCCCAGGAAGCCATGAGGATGTGCGAACACGGGAGGAAGGGAGCTGAGGACTCACCCACGGGGCTGGGGGAGGGGGCTGCGACAGAAGAGTGATCAGAGAGGGGCCATCACCTGTCACGTGCACGAGGTTCTTAGCTCCCTGAGGTCAAGAACTAGAGTGCACCCTGCTGTCAGCGGCCCAGGCAGCACCAGGGCGCACCCGACTCCGGGACCCAGTTCCCAGCATGCCCAAGGCCCCTTCCGCGTCCTAAGGTTGCTAGGCGGTCGAAGCAAGGACGCCAAAGCCTCTGAGCTAACACACTCACCCCTTGCCGCTACTGGGAATTCTCGTAACTCTCTTCGCACGGCGTCCAAAGCCGCCTCCGCCATGACGCCACTGCCGCCGGCCCGAGGCCCCTCCCACCCCGCTGAGACCAGGCCCCGAGGCCCCGCCCCCGCTG